TATACAAAAATCTGATCAGCTGTTCTTGAGAGCAATTTTTGGGTAAAATGTAAATCTTACCTAGCAACGTCTTGGATGGATTGATGTGATGTTAACTTTCATTGGTTTTTTGTTCTAAAACTTTGTTGTTGTATCATTCTTTTACCTTCACGATTTCCCTCGACAAAATAGAAAGAAATTTTGAGTTATAAACAAAATGAATGATACACTTAAAAATGACATAATACACTATGTATACCAGCATTATATATGTGGGTTTAAAAATAGAAACGAAAGTAGACATCATATCTCCCTTGGGACAGCAATTTCTTGTAGGTTTATCGCCGTTCCTTTTGTTCATATAGTTGAAGACTGGACATAGATTTTTTTTTCTGAAAAATTTGTAATTAAAAATTTTTAAAATGAAGCATCTTTGGACATAATTGAATCTATTAATTGGAGAACTTAAATATAACAAATTTGAAATCCATAGTGAAAATAATTTAATTTACCGCAGTAAAAGCTTTGATATTATAGTATACCATTTTAAAGATTACGCAATGTATGACTATATGTATATTTTGTTTCATAATTGCTGTATTTTACAATTCAGCTGATTTTCCTGATTAATTCCAGCGAATTGATTTAAAAAAAAATTTTTAGAAATATGATCGAGTTAAAAAACGTCATTAAGTAATTAATGAAGTCCCCTCTTACCTATCCTAAGCAAACCTCGTATGCAATATACCGTTAATATACTCTTCCTATCTTATGTTAATGTGCGACATGTGCATCTTTGATATATAATATTTTTTAAAGTCACGCTACCTGGACAAGGAATAGGACAAAAAAAATCCCCTCCCTATAACGTGATTACGTTAAAGTTATGTATAACCAATGTAAAGCTGTGGATATTGTGTTCCGCAGTAAACCTTGTAAACTGGCAGAAATAAAATAAAAGATAATCATTCTTCTGGTATTTCAATCGTTATTTTTATTTTCTATCTGCAAGAGATCCCCTATATAAATGGGTAATTTTCTTAGATAGTTTAAGGTGTGTCACCCGTCAACTTTTAAGAAAACTTACGTCAAATTCTACACTTTTTTTACAATTCCAGTTGCATGACATATTTGAATTTAAAAAATGCAATGGCAAATTATACAATATTCAATTTAAAAACTGCTCACGAAGTCATAAAAAAGAATATTTATCTGGGAAGTTTTCCTCTGGTGGAAGGATATTAAAAAAAAATATTCTTTAAAATTTAATGTCTTTATACTCAAGCCCACATATTTTTATTCTGACAATATTTTCTGTCATTATATGCTAGAGGAATCAATATTCAATAATTCAGCAGTGAAAAAAAGAATGAGACGATCAGTATGTACATGAACCATCTAGATCTTGCAAAGCAGGTAACAACAATAGTCTTGATTTCTAATGTTCTTTATTTAAATCATTATTTAAAGTACCGGTATTTTAAAAACAACAATGATGTAATTCTGCATGTGGTAATCCAACTTACACTCCCAAAGCTCCGTTCCTAAGGAGGACATTCTTCAAAATTATCTGTCATTTTTGAATGTTTTGAATATTCCAACGATCGAAAGGAATTTGAATTACCATATCTATATTGAATTCTAAAACTTCTTAAAAGCACTTTCAAACAAAGTTACATAGCGGTTGTAGTAAAAATTCTACTTAGCCTCCTTCTTTTCACATCACTTAACTATTAACAGTTACTGTAGTAAAGGAGAAACTCCAGTATTTTCGAGTAGGGGTGTAATCAGATGTGCATACTATATAATTTCGAGGAACATCTGGAAAATTTGAAATCAAAATTTTTTACCAAAACCAACAAAATAAAATTAAGAACATTTCAACCTTATATACAGTTATTTGCCTAAATAGCCCAAAGTCCAGACTTTTTGTTTTCATGATAAGCTTTTTTTAAACATTTGAATTTACCTGTCTTGTTATTGAACATTTGCAAAATTATTTCATAAAACCATTCTGGTTGCATCATCAACTTCCCTTACTTACGAAGTGACTTACCTTCATCACCTACTTACGGGTGATTTTTTTCTTCTATATATACAAAATTTTATTCAAAGATAAAAGTGAATGTGATTGGGCAGCAGGCGAAGCCCTCTCCCTACAAGGTCAAGATGAACACACACAAAATATAGGTATAAAACTAAATAAACAAACATAGTAGAAAGGAAACAAGAAAAAAAGTAGAAAAAATTAAAATGTAGTACCGGTTAGAAAAATGTAGGCAGAAATAACATACATGACATTGTCAAATACGTGTTGTTGCTACGATGTAATCATGCACGGCTTCGAATATTTGAATATTAATACGTATTCCACGATGAGGACTACCATACAATAATGAATCAAATTCATGAATTTGATCACATTCAATAATACTTTGGATTGTTTGGAAAAGTACAAGAACTATGCAAGTACAAAAAGTCAGTTTTTTGTTTTATGATGATAATCAAACAATATCTTTGCCTCCGCTATAATTCTATGCATAAACGCCTTCGGCCTGTATGCAAATTGACGCTAGCAAATTGCCTGATTACATTATAAAAAAGGTTATTCATAAATAAATCTTTGACAGTCAATGCAATATGTGGACAGAACATATATAAACTTATTGACAAGCAAGTTGATGAAACAAGAACATCAACAGTCTCGTTTAAAGTCATCATTTCTTAAATTCTGTGGTCTATACAATAACCTTGTCATAAAATACAATTTATCATTGAGACAAATGCTGACTGACGTTTTTCAAACTAATTGTTAGTCCATTATTTATACATTGATTTGACGACGGATTTTCCTGTTATTTCCCGATCATGGCAAGAAGCACACAGCGGATGTGGCAGGTCAGCAGAAGATGCTCACTCCTCCATGGCACCTAATCAAACCTTTGATGTTTTGGAGATCCGTGTTTGCTCTGTTCCTTTTTGTATTGTTTTATGGACTTTGAAATTGAAAACCGTTTGCTTTCTTCATATTCTTCCTTACAGTACTCAAGCTCAAAAGTCCATTCAACAATACAAGTCAGGAACAAAGTGAACACTCTCGGAACTCTTAAATATCAAAAGTGTAAAAAAAAAATATCGTGTTTATCTTTATCATACATATATATGGATTAGAGTGCTTATTATTATAATAAAATCAATCTACATGCAACTTCGACATAATGTTGAAAAGAGAATTTCTTTAAATCAATATTCAAACATGTATTGGTTAATTATGCAAACGATTTTAAACTATAAGGAAAATAAATTGCTTTTGAATATCATATGAGGTCAATAACACATTATTTTACGTCAACAATCAAAGCTATAAAGTAAAATATTCTGTAAATAAGATATTTTTTATGAACTTAAGTAGAATAACAATATTTATAGATACCTATTTGTAATTATCATATTTGGTTAAGTGTGGTTTATTGATTTAAATGCAATCGATGTTGGTCTTATGTTTGTCGAGATTCTTATTTTTTGCCATCCGACTAATGTTACTTGATGTATTATACTTACACATTTTCACTCTTATTGTAAATCAAACATTAGCATATTGATTTTTTTCTTTTTTTCTTCATTAGAAAATCTGGGTCAATAGAGGAGATAGGGGAAATAGATAAGCTAATAAAAAGAAAATTGAATTATATTTCCTCTACAACACGAAACTTAAAAATCTAAATATTTTAACTATCAGGTAGCGTGACTTTCGAAAATATCATATATCATACACATGTCGCACGTTAACAAAAGATAGGAAGAGTATATTCTATTCATAACTAACGATACATTGCATAAACGAAGATTGCTTAGGAAAGGTAAGAGGGGAATTTTTTAAATTTCTTAATGATGTTCTATAACTCAAGCATATTTCTAAGATATTTTAAAATCAATTGTCTATATGTAAATTTAGTTAAATAAAAGCAAAAAGTGAAATCATAAATTTTATATTTATTCTTAATAAAGTTTGACAAACTTTATAAAACACGCACTCTCAAAGCAATGAAAATATTGTATCGAAATTCATTAATTTTTATTTCAAAGTAACGTGCTATTGTTAATTATTATTCACGAAAATTTAAAGAATATTCCTTAAGTAATGCAACATACGTTTTATCCTAATTAATTAAGTGTTATTTAATTCTATATTTTCACATAAAGAATACTTATATGGACTCTTTATCACCAATAACGGCATGTTGTTACGAATATTTTCAAAAAGAAATTGCTTGATAAGTGACATTGTTTTATTACTGATATAGCAGTGTGTCCAAAGAGCTTTGTCTTTTAACCTCCGAACCTTGAAAATTTTTTGTAGTGCATGTTTCACACAAGGGTGTTTTATCTTTTACATTGTTTTTTTATGGAAATCAATAATATTTGCTCTGATTGGATTCACGCAAAACCATTGAGTTGCCACAGCAGTTGGTATTTAAAATTTAATTTAATTATTTAACACTATGAAATTGTGACTAAACTAAAATTGTTTTCCACTCTCCTTTTCTTTATAGAACATCACTTAAAATGAAACTCGTCCTAGTTGCACTATTTCTGGTGCTAGGCACTATCGAGGCAGTGAAAAATGATGTTAAACCTAAACCAACAAATCAATGTGTGACGGAAATGAATTCCTTTCGAACACTCCTGAACCTTGCCTCACAACTTGTGGAACTTCAGCAAGCTAATTGTAACAAAGGGAAAAGTAGAGAAATTCAAGGAAATCAGGAGAAAGAAAATAAAACAGGGTTGGCTACCAAAAAAGACATAAAGGAATTGAAAAATGAATTGAAGTCAATGAATGCTTTACTTCAAAATTGTAGAGGTCACAGAAGTAAATAATTTTTTGTATCACTAGAAATTTAACTTTATTTGGGATTGGGAGTTTATTTATTTTTCCTTGCAAACATGAATTTGTAGATTTGGGATATACCTTTTATCCAAAAGATTGTCAGGACCTATTGTTGAGAGGTTACAGAGAAAGTAAGGCTTACACGATCTACCCAAATAAAGGATCTGAATTCTAGGTTTACTGTGATCAGAAGACAGACGGGGGTGGATGGATGGTAAACGACGTTTTATTTTAATTTTAAATATGTCAAACATATATACAGAACTTCTTATTACTTCCAATTTATTTCAACATCAAAATTGGCGATGTGTATATTTTCCATCCAGGGCGTTTTCATTCAGAACAATAACTTAATTTTTGTTATCAAAGCATCTAAACTATTTTCTTTTTTGATAATTTAATCGTTAAAGTAACATTTGATTTAACACTATATATATCCTTCCTTATTGTTAAGGCGAATACAGAAAATTGAAATTCAGGAAATCTTTCATTCAAGGTTATACAAAGGAGACATGATGGATCAGAAAATTTATTCAGAACCTGGAATGAGTACAAAACTGGGTTCGGAAATCTGACGAATGAGTTTTGGCTAGGTATAATAAATATACGTTCCTGTATTTATTCACTGTTATTTGCAATTGGCAGAAACAAAAATCTTCTCCCTGAAGTTAAAAAAGTTTTCTTCACCAAGATACCCTTTCTGTTCTTATTTAAAGACAGATGTAGAAACTTCTATTAAAAAAAACGACTTGAGACACCACGTACTTTTTTCCTCAATTTTTTTATTCAGTGTTCCACAATAATGAGATTTGAAGTGAAAATATATAGATTAAAAAGGATGATTAAAAAAAGTTACAATTTTGAACCTCATAGAAGATTAACTATTTCATAATATTTTACAGGTTATTTGTCATCATTTGCAACAAAAATGGGCTTAAATATATATACACCAGTCAAGGCATCCATTTTTTTATGCCTCATATGCCCATAAAATTCTTTATTGTTGAATTTTTTATGCGTTGTAGAAAGATATTAGTATTTCTTCTAATTACCGTATATCAGGTTTTTTCGCGTCATGTTTTTTCCGCGAATCAGAACCTAATTCAGTATAATAAATTTACGCGAATCAAATTTTCAGAATTTAAAAGTCCCAGTTATTATATTATTAACAATTGTTTACGCCTATGAAGGAATAGAATGTAAAATGTAAAGTCATGAAGCTTGAGATACTTCATACAGGTGAGAAATAGATCGATCGACCTTCACCTCGTCAATTTCGAATGACCCGCTCAACTGATTACACACTTGTGTTGCGTACTAACTCTCAAATCCACAGATATTGGGTGCGTTCACAATTCTCCCATTGGTTGATATTGGTGGTGTAATTTACCAATGGCAAAACATTGGTACCAATGTTTACTATTGGTAACTTTTATTGGTAACCAATTCTGCAGGCCAACCACATCTCTGGTAGATTGGTAACCCAGATTTTTTCGTTTATTAGTGTCATCCCCAAGATGGCTACCTGGATTGTTCCTGGTAGCATGAGTGAAGTTTCCTCACTAGTAATAACACTTCAGATGAATTCTACTACAATATAAGGGAAAATATTGTTATCTCTACACAGTATTCCAAACTTCAAACAAATGATCACTTGTTTTGAAAAAAGAATATCACCTGAAGACAAGTTTTCATATAAAGTGATGTCCATAAAAGTAATTTTATTCGGTTTTAGGAATACAATAAACAAACTTCATTTTGAATTTGTTGTTTCTGGAAAATGGTGAATAACTCAACATTTGCCGTTGGTTACCATTGATTACCATTGGTGACCATTAGTAACCAAGCGTTATCATTATTCTTTTGACAACCATTGGTACAGCCTTTTGTCGTTTTGTCATTAGTTTACCAATATGCTGTTCACAGTTTAAAGGCAACCAATTGTACCATTGTTCAACATTGGTGCCAAAGACAAGCCAATGGCAAATCGATATTCGTACCAATGGAAGAATTGTGAACGCACCCATTATTTTTTAAGATTTAACCAAGTATAGGTCATTTACTGTTCCAAACTGACTAGCAGCTCAGGTATAATTAGTTTAATAGCTTCTCGCAAGGAACGTGACCCATATAATTAGCTAGCTTGTCAATTAGTAAACAAACAATAAGGGCTTATACCTATTACCGGTATCATGCGCTTGTCCTCTGATCCCGTTGTTATACCCTCTACGATATAATATAAGAAATAATTCTACTACATGTACAAGGAGAAAACTTTGTATTAAATTTACGCTGTTTTATTTTCCGCGAATCAGAACTCGTCGCGAACAAAGCGGAAATTGGATACACGCGGAAAAATCCTGATATACGGTATACTGTGGTTTCATCAATATTCGTTGAGCACCAATTTTTGTGGATTTCGTTGTTGAGCAGATCCATGAATTCAAATGTTCATTGAAATACGAAATATGACATTCATTTGTATTAGCAATGCCTCTGTCCATGAAATTACGTATCCTCGAAAAATTCAGTTTTTCAAAATTGATGCCAGCGAAAATTAATGAAACCACAGTAATAAATGCTAAAAAAAAATGCGGATTTCCATTTTTCAAACTCTTTTAAGGTAGTTAAATATAAAAAGGATTTGAAATATATATCTAAATTATTTTTTTTTTATATTTTAAAGGAAATTAAAACAAAAGTTACCCCTGACACGGTAAAATTCCAATTTGCTTTACAGTGAGCCGTTTGTCGTAGAAACTGTACAATGTTTTTTTTCTTCACATTTTTAATTCAAAAGTATTTATTTGAATAACTGTGAATGAGTAAAAAAAGATATTTGAATAATACTACAATATATTCATGAATTCTTGATTATCTCCCTTTGAAAGATTTTAAAGGTTTCCAAAGTCAACTATTTCATATCAAACGTTACAAAAAAAACCAACAAAAAACTGAATGATAAAACCTCAGTTTTATTGATAGTCTCAATTTACGTTTGCTGCCTTTATTCTATCGGTATTTATTAGACGAGGCCAATGATAACATTATAAAGATATGTTATTTGAAATGTTTTTTTTTTTTATTTTTATTTTTGCATTTATTTGTTATTACATGGCATTCAATTACTTGAAATAATTCATGATCTTGACTATAAATAATATTTGCTCAATGATGTTAAAAATATATGTAACTTTGTAAAAGACGATACAAGAATTAAGATTTTGAGACAAAAATAAAAAAAAATGTAAAATTTAGTTCGAATTTCCTCTGTGTTATCATATACGGTATACAGGGAAATTGTCACTCCCATTTTAGTTTCCAACTTTCGCCCTAACATCGTTTGGGTTAATTTAAAGAATACAGTACAATATCTTAATGAAACAAAATTATGACTTGGTGAATTTAAAGATGGACATAATTGTTTGCAAGTATGCAATGGCGAAAACTAGAGGGGCGGAAATTTCCCTGCAGTATTGACTTATGTTCCTGAAAATTTTCTTCAAATAATAAAATATGAAATGTTTAATTTGATATATTTTTTTAAACTTAGTTTTTTTATGCATTTCGAACACTTTTTTTAAATTCACATTTTGTATTCTATACAACTTCCTTTTCTTTCTGTCTTCTGAAAGCTGAGTAAACGTCATAATTGAAATACATGTAATAATAATTTCAGGGAATGAAAAAATTCACACAATTACAGAATCAGGAAATTACAACCTGAGAATCGATATGAAAGACTTTTCCAAAAATTCTCGTCATGCAAGCTTTAAAACATTTCAGGTTGGGAATGAAAAATCTGGATATGTTTTGAAAGTCTCAGGCTACAGTGGAAATGCTGGTAAGTCATCTGATATAATCATTCTCAGGTATATGTTATCAGAAAACTCATGTAATGATTAATGATTTATTTCATTATAAACAATGTTTCTTTTCAGGCGACTCATTGTCTAACCATAATACTGCAAAATTCGTTACACAGTATCGAAATGATGGACACGGTTGTGCAAAGAAATATAAAAGCGGATGGTGGTACAAAAACTGTCATCGCTCTAATCTTAATGGCCAATATCTGAAAGGTGAGCATAAATCCTATGCTAACGGTGTGAACTGGTATCACTGGAAAGGATACCATTATTCTCTGAAACTAACTGAAATGAAAATCAGAAGAGCAAACGTCTGAGTCTGAAAATCAGACCAAGAGATGAAGAATGAGGAAAATCAAACCAAAAAATGAAGTGTCCAATTTATTTGTTCACAAATAAAAATTAACCATTTTGTTTCTCTCTGCTGGTCTCACAGTCTCAGTTATTTATCATAAATACAAAATATAGTCACAGAACAGTACTTAAGTGAACTATACCTTACTACAAGTATTAGCTTTCCTAAAAAGCTCGTCTGACGTGGTTTGTTTAAATTAAAAAAAAACGAAAAGAAATAATATATTATGTTATATAATTTCTTTCGTTCGATAATATATCTTCAAGAGAACATGCGTAATCAATATTGTATACAATAATGTACAAAGAACTTTAAATTGAAGCTCCTGGCTCAAGGATCATGAAACAAAGACTTAAATGAAATTTTTAATCGCTGATAAAATATTTATTAATTATGGAATTTATTTCTTCATTTGCACATAACAACATCTCTGTGAAACAATATTAAAAATATCCCTAACCCTAACCCGAATCCTTCTGGTCTGCTTGACATTTTAACATAAAATAAAGATTTTGATCGACTTAGGCTTAAGATGTTTCAAGATCCCGGATCAGCATTTTTCAAGTAATGTTTTAATGTTAAATGACCTTTTATTCAACAAACAGAATAAAATGAAGGTTGTAAATGATGAAATCAATGGGAAGATCTATGATCACTTAATGGGCGCGTAAAACCTTACCCCTAACCCTGGCGATAACAATCTTGGCAGAGCGTTATACATGCTGACCATTCCACTGCTGTTCTTGAAAGCTTTCAATCCTTCTCAAACCATTTGATGTACAATGATTCTCTACTTAACACTGTTACGTAATTGATTGATGAAATTCTGAATTGAAGCATCTGGGAAAAGAAACAAGAAGATGCAAACTAATTTACAATGTAATATTGTCCAAATATATAATCGTTGGATAGGAGTGAAGTATAACACTTCAGCAACATACAATCTATTTACACAATAGATGACCACGTGCCTGATGTTTAGGTACTAGTAATTCAATGTCAAGGTATAATTGTACTGTAAATAAGCAAACAATTATTTAACCATAACATGTAAAATGATTAATCTTTGATACACAACACAAAACAGTGAGATTTATATAATAAGGCATTTTTTTTTATAAAGAACTGAAGCGGACATGAAAGATTAATTTTAACTTTGGTGATTAGTTTTGAATGACCTTTGATAGGGATTTCATATGTGACACAATATACTCAAAAGAAGTTCTGGATTTTAGATTTACTTTGATCGGAAAACGCTAACAATTATAATAGCTCTACATTTACGTAATTTAGCAGAAATTAAGTTGAATTTATGATATTATCCCTTGAAGAACAACATGCCTTAGTACGTTAAGTAAAGTATTATATATAAATCATCCTTTTAGTGTTCAGATTACAAAGTGTTGATATATGTATCATGACCCTCTGTGTTGTGCAGTAATGAGAAAATTCTTGAGATATTTTATATTATAACAACCTGGTTTTTGTTTAATCATAGCCTTATTATGAGAATATGTCATGACTAGACAGAAAAAAAACTTGAGGTACTGTGAGTCATGAGCTCACTTAATGATACCAACCACCTCCCATATGTATATAACGGCAGTGTCCATGTTTTGCTATGGGAAACCCAAAATATATGTCGGATCAAAAAGTAAATTAGGAGATGCACAATGGCAAGGTGTAATAAAGAATAATGAAAGTTTCATTAAATTTCATTCAGTGGTATAAGAAGAGTTGCGGATAATAAGAGAGGGGTACCCTAAAGCGTAACAGACAGACAGACTGACGGACGGACGGACATACCGATAACTTTTCAAGCGGGGGTATAATAAAGATTTACAACTGCCTACATGTATAAGTAGGAACCAGTTTCTTTTGTTGACATAAAATTTAAAATAAATCAATATGCTGAAAAATTAAAATTGTTGAAGTCATTTTATTTTGAGTCCACAATAAGGTTTAATTTATTTACATATATATTTTTCGGGAACTGGCGAGAGCTGCTACCAAATAATTGATTAGTATATAGTCTATTTTCAGAATGGTAAATCCCCAGAAACTCCAATGGGAAACACCTAGGCTTTCTCTTCTCCTTTCGATTTACCTTGAGCAATTGTGTTTTTATAAATACGTTGATAACATATATGCATGATGATTATATAGGGAATATTATACAAATTTATGATTAATTACCCTGATTTATAAATGCACATAACTGTGAGTATACTTTTTTTTCTATGTTACTGCTGCTGTGAGATTATTCTGTTAAGCCAAGAGCAAGAACGTAATAATTGTTAAAAATTAATATATATTAAAAGTGGACGATGAGTCGCATGAAAAATATATACTGAATTCATTAACAGAATATTTCATACAAACAAAAGATGAACTAAAAGAGTCTTTTATTATGTGAAAGTGATAGTAATAAGAGCACTTTTATTCAAGTATTCTCTAAAAATAGAATTCTACTTTGAAACTTTAAATGTAAACCGAAATTTCATCTAGATAATATTGTGATTTTAAATACATACATAATAATCGAGCATATTCTAAAATTGGAAATTCTTTGTTAAATATATTACAAACTGAGACAATCTTAACCTTTTTAGAAAAGGGGGTGGGTTTCGAAAAACTATAGGACTTTTGTATAAAACAATTTAATAATGTGAAGTCTTATAAGATATCGTGCATTTTCAGAAATGCTTAATCCATGTAGTTGCATTGTCGAGAAACAACAAATTAAATCATATATCGTGTGATTTAAACCTCTCCATGTAAGGAAGCTCGTTCAGGCTAGTTCAGAGAAAGAACTATTTTTATTGTAATGAAATGCAATAAATAACTTTTGCGTTTAAAGGCAATAATAATTTTGCTTTTAATCGCAAAAATGTTTGCTTTTAAACACAGTAATATTGCGATTAAGATTCTTAGGAATGTGTGTATTGTTTAGCTTTAAAGCATCAAGATTTCTTCCGAGCAAACGCTCTCTGAATGGATAAATCATTGATATGAATTTAAAAAAGAGAAAAAATGTTGGGTTGTAAAAGCAAGGGCTTTTTTGTTTTACTTTGCAATGTTGAAACAAGACACAGCACATAGAAAGAATTTTCTAAATAAAAGACATAAAGAAAAAAAAATGGTTCGAAAATTATCTATCGCAAAGCTGTCACACAGTTTAAACATTTATGACGGACCCCAGGAAACGACTGATGATACATGTATGTTGGAATTGCCAACATCATGATGAAGGTTTTAGACACAAAAATATATATACAACTCTTGCTTTGGATACATACAGTAAATACGAGAACATAGGAGATGGAATCAAATGATCAACATGAAATCAAATGAAAACAGACTGATTGATCGATGTGTCTTTCCAAATTGACTATATTATACCACTGAGACATTCTCAATCAATTGTGACACGTAAGTTACTTATCAAAGACTACAGTTAAGTGTTGGGTTCTACTACATTCTTGTTGTCGGGATGGCATTGTTTTACTACAATTCTCAAAAACTGAAACATTTTTCATAAGCACGTGTACTCAGAATTTTTTAGAGTTCTTTAAAGTGTCAGGTCACAGTATTAGTAATACGTTCAGGCAAATTGATGTCGGATTTCAAAATGCAGTATCACTGTGTTTAAGGGAGAAGAAATCCTTACAAAGAATGATAATTGGGTTTTTAAAAAATATTGCGTTTAATTGCAAAAATTATATAATATATATTGATTTAATCGTAAAAGTATTTAATCGCAGTATAATTGCTTTTAAACGCAAATATTATGGCAATGAAATGCAAAAATAGTGATAAAAAGCAAAATTATTAATGTGTTTAAAATGATTAATGTGTTTAAAAGCAGAAAAGTATAGCGTGAATTTTTGTGTGAATTTTTTCACATTAAATGTTATAAAAGATTTCTTACTCTGAACTAGTATTAACAAGGCTTGAGTACAGATGTAAAGCGGAAGAAATATCAAATAAGCAGAAAAAAATAAGCCACGAAACATTATTTTCTACAGAATAAAATGACAACATGAACGGAATCAATCTTGCTGGAACTGATGAAGAAGGCAGCATCAAAGATCAAAATCAAAATGACACTTTTATTGAAGCAAATCTATCTCTTGTAAATTCAAGTACTTTCAAGAACGATTATTTGGCGACATTTATCAACGATACATTTCTGAATGGAAATATTACGTCTTCATTAGGAAATGGAACTGTGAATCTAACAAGAACAGATTCTAGCATTCATTCAAATGGAAATGCTCATGTAGTAGTAGTAGTTTTTGTTTCAATAATCGTATTTATTTTCTTTGTGCTGGCAGTTTTCCATTGGAAAAGAAGGCAACAAAAAACTGCAAGAGAGAGTGATCAAAAAAATGCTGGATGCATGAAAAATGTCAAACAGGAAAACGTAAATTGTTCGCTTCTAACTGAAAACAATGGGGATATGGAAAAAAATATATACACCCAATCTGTTCACCAAAAAGAAGACGCAGAAGAAAAGTCAATTTTAAATAGTGAGATCCATTCTGATTCAGCCGGTTCAAGCTTTCTTTGCCCCCTTCTACATAGTAGCCAAGAAATAGCAGAGGAGAATGAGAGTACATAAAATCCTATTCTTGTAGTCTTGATGGTCATCAAACTTTCTATAGCAATGGAAAGATGTTAATTTGCAAAATCAGCGACAAACCATGAGGACAGGAAAATTAAAAATCTTTATGTGTATTACTGTTTGTGTTGGTGGCTGATGTAAAACAAAACAGACAGAGAAAGCTACCGCCTAAATATTTTCTGTTGAATTGTACCAGTTTTCAGGAAGTGACAAAAGTTGACGAGTTCTTTTCTTGGGCAAATAATAGGAATTTTGATACTTTAAATAGCACCTTATACGTAGAATCCTATTTAATTTGTAATTATAGTTTTCTTTACAAAACGTAAAGAGAAGACAATAAAGGAAACGATAATAAGGGATTACAGAATAATTACATGTATGTTTTGTTTATTAGAATGTTTAAAGAGGTTGAGTTAT